TCAAAAAGATTCTTTATGCAGTTTTCGAAATCAATCCAGTTTCTCAATTTCCATGGAATACACCAGAAAAGGCTTCACCAAGGTTTAGCAAAATGCATACCACTAATTATGTGTCTTATTCTTTTACTTAGTGGCACTTTATTTTATCTGATATATACCGAATGGAGTGGAAAATGGAACCATTGTTCATTTTCATTTACCTTTGTTACAATCTCTTTTGAATGCTTTTATCATATTATATACTTTCAGTATCTCTAATTAGCTCATCAAATGTATGGGAAATACTCACTATTTAATTTACCGGTAGAGCTAGTTTTCAATAAAATCAAACTTACTTTCTGCCATAAAAAGTCTGGCTTGTTTTTTTCAGTTCAAATAAATTAATATAAATTTTGTCACAACCATCTCAGCTCGGAATTCCTATGCTAGGCAGGCAGTAGAGAGATGGATAAAACTCAGGGCCTTGCCAGGCGTTTGACAATTGGATTAAATAAGGCATCATTGCCTTGAATACTTCTTACTTTATTGACATTCTCTTTGCAATCATGAAACTCTTCTGCAGATGAAAAGCGTTCATAGACAATGGGTGAGTGGGTGACGGGAGCACAAAACAAAGATTTCTCTCTCCCTCTTGATGCATCGGATTTTAAAACCTGCCAGTAGTCTCAAATAGTCCATTTCTTAACTTCATTGCACTTTGCCTTGGCTAGAAATATGTGTATGGCAGGAAAAACAAAAAGAGCCCTTCCTTGGGTTTATGGTGTCTTGGTTAAAGAATGTTTATCAACAAAAATACTTTCAATTTTGCCTGCTTGATGCACTGAAAACTTTATATTCTAAGAGAGTGTATCAAAGAAAGATTCTGGATGTGTGAGAAGTATGCCTGTCTGTTGTAGTGGAAGTCTAAATATGGGAACTGTTGAGGTTCTAGAAATTAATTCCCATAAAATAATGTACCCCTTTTTCCTACATTGAAAAGTCCTCATGTTCCATAGGGCTATGAACTACTCTTGTTTGAAGAATCCTGGACCAAATAACCTCCAAGGGCACTGGAACTCTGAGATTCTAGGAAGATTTTCCATTACAAGTAGACAAAAAAGAAACAGTAATCAGAGCTACTGTTGCCCCATTCAAGCACATCCACTCAACCTTGGTTCTTTTGTATTACAATTAAAAATAACCTTCTTTCTGAAAAAGCCACCTGTTAAATTAACTATGGGACTAACTGTATAAGTAGATGCACTTCTCGACAAAGAAGTGGGTACACATATCATTGCAGTGAGAAAGATTTTAACACCTCAAAATCAGGATATAGAGAAAGCAATAAAGCAAAACCTGAAACCCTAGAAATCAGAACTTGATTACTGTTTCCAAAGCTAATGCCATTGGGCAAAGATGATGTTTTGGAAAACAGTTCTGGGATTAGCACCAGCTAATGCTGACCAACTCTCAAAGCATGGGTACATCTCCAAGCCATTTCTAGCAGCAGTAGATAGGATCAAGACCAGAGAGCAGACTAAATCACATAAGCTTCAGATAGTAACAATATAGAACTTGTTAATGGCAATAATGTATAATAATAGCGTTAGAAATCTGTGAACATAATGAATGAGACTAAATATGAATGATCTCATGTATAAATACATGTACTAACAGATCTTAGTGGGATAAAGGACTACAATTCTACTCAGTATTTTAAAAAATAGTATATGTAGAAATCAACCAAAACTTATTAAGAAGTTATAATAAATTATAATACAAAGAATTTTCCCTGGTGATTCAGGTGGTAAAGAATCTGCCTCCTCCAATGCAGGAGACCCAGGTTCCATCCCTAGGTCAGGAAGATCCCCTGGAGAAGGGAATGGCAACCCACTCCAGTATTCTTGCCTGGAAAATCCAATGGACAGAGGCGCTTGGCAGGCTACCGTCCACGGTGTTGCAAAGAGTTGGACATGACTGAGCAACTAACACATATAATATGAAGGATATTAGGTCATAGTAACCATGGCACACAAGCCTATCATTCCCTCCAAATAAAAATAAATACAATTTTATGTCCTAAAACTGAAAGCTAAGCAGTTTCTCTGATGTTTTTCAGTGGGCTAACATACCTGATTTTATATGGAATAGACAGATAAATTTAAAACCTAATAATTTGAAATAAGTATTTGTTTTTAATAAAAAGCATGGATTATGTAGGTGATTCTATAAAACACATAGTTTTGGAATTATGCAGACTTCTATTTGAACCTTGACTCAACCCTCCCTTCGGGTTATAATTTACTTCTCTGAGCCTTAAATTCCTCATCTCAAAATAGTGTCAATCTCACAGAGTTGTTTTGAAATTTAAAACACATAATATAGATGAAACTACCTAGCATGTTATAGATTCTCACTATAGGTTAATTCCCTTTTCCCCCCTCCTTAATCTTTTCAGCAAAAACTACTTTATGACAAATGTAGGTTCTTGTGCAAAAGCTTCCAAAATGAAAAGCAGACATTGATCTCAGGTATTTAAAAATTTCTGTAAATAAAGATGTTTGGTTCGCTAGCAAGCAAAAGTAATCTCTGGGTGTAGGGTTATATTTTTTATCTTTTTATCTATATATTCTAGTTTTGCTAAAATGAATATTAATATCATAAGATAATATTTTAAAATTCAGTAAGTGATGCACAGTTGATAGTCTGTGAGTTAATACATGAAAAATTACATGGATCTCTGTTTAGCTATAGCTGTCCTTTGACCTGATGGTCATGTGTCATTGCAGGATACAATAGTCCAGGTAGAAAAGAATCCCAACACTTACTAGTAACACACTTTCCCTCAGACTTCATACTCGTCCATAAGTGTGATTTGTTGTGAGTTACTCTAGACCCTGATGGCCTGGATATCTACCTTAAACATTTGTGGTAGAAAGGTGCCTTCATGGCTAATCTTGAATTCAGTTTCTCCTGGTCTTATACACACACACACACAAGACTTAGGAACAAAAAACTGCCTTTGTGGCACTTAAGTGTGATTTACCCATATTAAAGCTATTTCAAGTATCTGGGTTTTTTTGAAATTTTTTGACATGAAAATACTGACTTTTTTTAACATATATATATCCATTCTCCCCCAAACCCCCTTCATCCAGGCTGCCACATAATATTGAGTAGTGTTCCCTGTGCTCTACAAGTGTCTATTTTTAAAATGTGCCATAAATTATATGCATAGTAATGCAACGCTTTATACATATATATACACACACACACGTTGTTGTTAAGTCGCTCAGTCATGTCTGACTCTTTGCAACCCCATGGACTGCAGCACACCAGTCTTCCCTGTCCCTCACCATCTCCCAGAGCCTGCTCAAACTCGTCCATTGAGTCAGTGTTGCCATCCAACCATCTCATCCTCTGTCCCCTTCTCCTCCTGCCCTTAACCTTTCCCAGCATCAGGGTCTTTTTTAAAGAGTCAGCCCTTCGCATCATGTGGCCAGAGTATTGGAGCTTCATTTTCAACATTGGTCCTTCCAATGAATATTCAGGATTGACTGGTTTGATCTCCTTGCATGCGCACACACACACAAAACACATATATAACTACTTCCAGAAAAGGGGTGGAATAATGCCATTTGATAGAACTGAAAATATAAAAATCCACGAATATGAGAAGACCAAATTCTTTAACCTGGCATTCAGGGGCCTCCACCATCTGATACCATTTTTGCTTTTCCAGTTTTATCTTCTGTTTCTCCCATGACAAACCCATTGATGTCTTCCATTTATTTGATATCTTCTGAGAGCCACGTGCTTTATATAGAATACCTCATGTAACACTTAGAGGAGTCCTATGATTGCATGGTTGCTTTTACAGATGAGGTTTACTATCAGAAGCTTCATATACACCTTCAGGTCACACAGCCAGTTAGCCAGTAGAGTCAGGGTTCAAACTCCGGTTTGTTTGACTCCAGAACCAGTTTTCTAGGCTTCTTTTCTAGCCAAGTGGGTCTCTCTGCTTACCATTACCCTAACACATATTCAGTTCCAGTGCCATGGTTTTTTTTTTTTTCATTTATTTTTATTAGTTGGAGGCTAATTACTTTACAATATTGTAGTGGTTTTTGTCATACATTGACCCAGTGCCATGTTTTTAATTACGAAGTTTCCCTCTACTCAGAAACCTTATCCTACTTGTCCTGCAGAGTTGAGCTCAGTACCTGTCCCTCTGTGACGTCTTTCCAGCTCCAGCCTTCAGTGATATTACTTCGCTCTGACCTTTAACCATATGTTGCTTAAGATAGTCATTTATTAGTTTGCAGGTGTTGTCTTTCCAACCAGGTAATTACTTGCTTGATGACAGTAGCCATCAAAGCCGGAGTCCGTCATCTCTAAGATTCTGTTCTCTAGTTTGTGTTTCTTCTTAATACCTACAATTCTGTGTCCCTACTAAATGCTCCAAAATGAACTCAATGTTAAATTAATAGTTCTTGGTAGACAGAAGACTCTCTTCTGTCATTAAAATAATTTACAACTACTTGAAGTCATCTGAATTTTGAATTTGATTGATTTGGAAATCTTCATAATCCATTCTGCCTTAATTTACCCTTTGCAAGGTTATGGTATGTTTAGAATGACTGATAAGTACCAGACTTAATCTCTCCCAAGAAATAACACCACGTATAATTTGTGAGATAATTACGTTTCAAATGATCAAGAAAGACTGTAAGTGTGAAAACAGTTGCAGTAATAGGTGTACCTTGGGGGAAAGTAAAAGGATTTTGACTTAAATATCTTAAAGAATGTGCTAAATCAGGATTACTTGAACAATATCTTAACAGAGAAAAACCTTTTAAAGGGAAAATTAGAAATAAAGAAGAGCATTTCATCTATCAGAAGGAAATGAAATTTCTGAGCACTTCAGTGAAAAAATTTTGGGAAAGTCAGAAGACTGTTTTGGTTTTGGTTCTGTTTCTTTTTAATTTTCCCTTCTTTTTCAATGAATCTCTTACATTCAGGAAAATTAGGTGGATTTACACAGGAAAATAATACCATAGATTCTGGAGAACTTGATATTGGCCGAAGAGCAATTCAAGAGGTTCCTCCTGGTATCTTCTGGAGATCACAACTTTTTATAGATCAGCCACAGTTTCTTAAATTCAACATCTCTCTTCAGAAAGATGCTCTGATTGGAGTATATGGCCGAAAAGGCTTACCACCCTCCCACACTCAGGTAGGCTCTATTACCAGTAAATTGAAAACTGCTCGTTTGCATTTTTAAAGTCATTCCATTTCTTAACTGCTTGTTTAAGTTGTTTAACTCTTTGACCACTTTTGTATTGGTGTGTTACAGCGAAGAGAGTTTTGAATGTAAGTGACACTTATCTTGAGACTTTCGAATTGGTAGGAAGAACAGCTTTTCCTTTCTGATTCGCTTTAATCGGTACTGATTGATTAAAATGTACAGAATTTGTGAGTAACCTGATGAATATTGAACATCATCTAGGTAGTAAAACATCATGGATTTTCCAAGTGTTTTAGAACAATTCTGTGATCATTTCGAAAGACCGCATAACTTTCATGCATGAAATTTTCATCCCAAACATCTTCATTCTGTTGAAAATACATAGTTTTTACTTTATGTCAGATTTACTCTTTGTAAAGAAATTATGGGACCATAAACAGATATATAATATGAACTTTTATCAACTCAAGCCACAATTCCTCATATAAATATGATAAACACTAAAATACCAAGGCAAAAGCTTTCATGGATCATCAAGGATGATCACATTATTTAAAACAATTCAAATACTCCTATATTATAGGTTCAAAGAACTTTAAAGTCAGTTTGCTTTCATGAAAATCATTTCACAACTGTTCTAGATTAATAATCCTATAGACTTTTTCATGATCCGTGATGACTCATAGAATGTCAGTTGGAAATTGTGGTTTAAAGATATTCCATTACGTCTCAGAGAAATTATGTAAATTACCTACCACAAAACTGAAGACTAGACTTTTCCCAAAAACAGGAATTCCAAAAATGTGATAGATGGTTAATTAAAATGGACAATTAGATGAGCCTAAAGTTATGCCTGAAAATCAGTTATTTACCCATGGAGTTTCATGCTGACTAATTTGATGTATAAAATGAAGACCAGATGCTTTATATTATGTAAATTTATGAGAAATGCTTTTTCTATAACCTCAGAATTAAATTTTAAGGAAAATTGATCCATATACTAATAAAAATACTTTTTAAAAAAAGATGAGTAAGAAAAATTTGAACATGCTTTCTCTAATGTCATGGATTAAGGAAAGTTTCATATACGTATATAATTCATACAACTTGAATTTTTTGAATGCCATGCTTTGGTGTATTTATTTTTCTGAGTTAGCATTTTTCATATCTACATTGTTAAAGTAATGCCTTTAATGCTCACATATCGAAATACCTCTTATTATGTACTAGGTAGGGTCCAATTGTAGATTATAGTTATATCTGATGCTAGTTCATGTTACAGGTGATACTAAGATGTAATGACAATATTTTCTTAAGTAGAAATGGCTCTCCATGACTTCAGTTATAGAAGATATAACTCAAGAAACATTTCTCTAAGTACAACAGCAAGCTTGTAACCTGTAAATTCCAAAAATTAATTTCAAGGAAAAAATTAATGCATTGAGCACTTTAAAGGTTTATTTAAAGATTCAGAATTGACTTTTTGCAAGTTATATATACCATAAAAGACTAGGGAATAAAAGGTGTAGTTCAGGTTTTCTCATAATTCTTCTGATATTTAAACACAATATACGTGATTTTCACTTTTCTTTTCTCCCACAATGTATGTGTTTAAGTAGGTTATGCATTTTCTTAAGCTCCAGTTATTAGAGTTCCTTCCTCTGGTTTATTCAGGATCAGCAGAGCAAACAGCTGTTTCCGAGTTCAGTGTTTAAACATGAAATATGCTATATAACAGCCCAAATTGAACATTTCTTGTTTCTGGGGAACGTTAAATAAATCAGCCCGAAATAATTAAAATTGGCCAACCATTCAGAATAATCACTTGAGTTTTGAAAGTCTTTGTGACCCTTTATAAAACTGTCCGAAGAATATACGTGATTTTCACTTTTCTTTTCTCCCACAATGTATGTGTTTAAGTAGGTTATGCATTTTCTTAAGCTCCAGTTATTAGAGTTCCTTCCTCTGGTTTATTCAGGATCAGCAGAGCAAACAGCTGTTTCCGAGTTCAGTGTTTAAACATGAAATATGCTATATAACAGCCCAAATTGAACATTTCTTGTTTCTGGGGAACGTTAAATAAATCAGCCCGAAATAATTAAAATTGGCCAACCATTCAGAATAATCACTTGAGTTTTGAAAGTCTTTGTGACCCTTTATAAAACTGTCCGCGTGACTGTTGCCAAGGAATCAATTGACTTTCTTCCCCAATGCCCGATTCATTCTCCTGGACAGTTAGAAGCCTAAGGAAGCAATTTAACGCTTTATACAGTTAATAGCATACTGTATCCTTTGAGTGCATTTGCATGAAGTTGTTGTAGAATGGGAGTCAGAAACCTGGGTCGCCACTGTTTGACCTTGTGACCTTGAACAAGTCTAACTTGCTGGTGACTCAGTGTCTGTCTGTAAAATGAAAGAGTTGAATCAGATGATCTCTAAAATCACCTCCTCCTCTATGTCAGTGGTTTACAGTGAGACTAAACCACCACCAAAAAGTGGAGAGCACAGTTAGGTATTCATAGATTCTGAGTTCTCATGATTTTAGTAGCTGAACTGAGTTAAGAATAGGGATAATCTGTTCAGAAACGAACCATCAAGATAGCTTCAGCATAAGCTTTGTCTCTTGATCGCTCCCCCACTGTGGTGAGACTGAATTTTGTCCTAAAAATAACAAGATTCTAAGACTTGCTGCACAAAAAATCCATAAGAATCTTATGAATAGGTATTACAGAACAAAACTCAGGTTGCCCATAAGTGATTACAGTACACCCAAAGAACAAAGGTTACTAAATTTCTGTTCCATGTAACTTGCTTCTTTTTTCTAGCAATAGCTGCAGTGTTAAATAGGTTAAATACTTATCTTTAGGTATTGGAATATCCTCCTGAAGTTGTGTGTGAAACGTCCCCAGGGAAGAGCCTGGAGCTGGGTAGATACTTACTCCACAATCGTCAACTACTCCTCACCACAAGCATCATGCCTACCACTCCAGCTTTAGTTTATTGTTCAAAGTGTGATGCAAAATAGTGATTTCTTGATAAAAGGTGACACTCATAGGCCTTGAAAGACCTACTAAAATTCAAATTTTCCTCCCTTTCACTTTTTCAGTTACTGTGTCTATGCTAGGGGAGAAAAAATATTTATATGCAATGGGACCATCAGAAGAAACTTTTCCTGGTCTTTTTGCCATGCTCATGCAACTATTTAAAATTGATAAGAAAATGAATGGTTTATTTGAGACAGAGGCACCGTTCAGAAGTGCTGAGTTAATTTCCTCTGATAATTTTGGAATATAATTCCAGTGAATTTTTTGTAGTTAAAGTGTCCACACCAGTCATTTTCTTCATCCTTGTAAGATATAAATTAAGAAAAATGTTTGAATGCTAATCACATTATGACTTTTTCTATATTCCTCACAGCTGAATGATGTTATAGTGTTATAGTACAGTTCAACTGCACAAAAAAAATAACAAAAAATGCTTTTATACTTACATTTAAAATTTAGTATGTTGGAAGCTGAATTAGATATTCTAAATTCTGTCCAGTAGTAACAGGAAAAGGTCTATGTACAGTGACAATGAATTAAACTGTGGTTCTCTGAATCCCAACAACTGATTTTTTTTCCAATTTGATTATATTAAAGGATTCATTATAAATAAATTTTCCTTAAATAGACTGCTGATGAAATTCCATTTAAGGAGTCTATCAGAAAGTAGAATATTAATGATTCACATATACAGTGCTCTAACATTAATGATTTATATAGATAGTGCTGTAGTGTACTTTTCACCATCAATACATACCTCAGGAATAAAGTGAAACTGGGTAAGAGTCTATAGACACTGAATAATTACTTTTAAGAAACTGTTGTCAAACAAGTTTATTGAAACTGTGTTGAAAAAGTCTTTGCAGTGTCTTCCAAATTCACTGAATTATCTCTGACTACAAAATATTATCCCACTATTACCAGCCACATCACATTTTTAAAAAATTACCTTTGAATTCTCTGGTTGAATTCTTCCAGCTGCCCAGTGTTCATGATTAATCTTACTAGAATAAATATTGTTTAATGATGATTGACTTCATGATAATAATTGGCTCATCCTTTCAGAACCCCTCTGGAAAAGGAAATGGCAACCCACTCCAGCATTCTTGCCAGGAAAATTCCACAGACAGAAGAGCTGATCAAAGATGTAAAGGCATCTTATTATATGTTTTTAATCTAACTGCAACTAAGTAAAACTCCATGGCTGGCTTTCTCCATGGTGTTTGCAGTGGTTATATCAGGGTCACAGAGAGGCTTGGAGTCAGGAACAGCCCAAGCTTTGGAGCAAAGCTCACTGCAGTTCACAAACCACCTGCACCACTGACCAGCTATCTGACCCTGCTCAGGCTTCTCAGGTTTCAGTTTCCTTCATCCCTAAAGTGTAAACAATAAGGTCTTCCTAGAAATGTTGCTAATGATGATTAAAAATAATCCTGGCACAGAATAAGTATTCAGTAGCAGTGGTTACTACTTAAGTATTAATTAGGAGAAAACCTTAAGAGATCATCTAATGTCTAAAAATGATGGAGGCTTATGGTTGTAGCCCCCAAATTGCCTAGACTCACAAATTTTGTAAAAAAAAATTTATATTTATTGACGTGTAGTTGGTTAAACAACTTTGTATTAATTTCTGCTGTAGTAAAAAAGGATTCAGTTATACATACATTCTTTTCCATGTTATCGTGGGATACTGAGTATAGTTCCCTGTGCTATACAATAAGCCTTATTTATCCATCCTACATACAATAGTTGCACATACTAGTCCCAACCGCCCACTCCACCCCTCCCCTACCCTGCCCCTTGGCAAACCCCAGGTCTGTTCTCTATAGCTTAAACTCACAATCTTCTCATCAGTCGGAAGAACTAAATAAAGTGAGGGGAAGAAATGGTCCGTGATGTTAAATACAACAGTGGTATGCAGGAGGTACCCTCCATCACCCCTGTGAATACAACGCCTAGAAGACCTGTCAATCAGGAATTTTTCCCTGCCATTGTAGTATTTCTGTCTGCTAACCAGTTTTCCTTGTCCTTGTCCTCAGTATGACTTTGTGGAGCTCCTAGATGGCAGCAGGTTGATCGCAAGAGAGCAGCGGAATCTGCTGGAGTCCGAAAGGGCGGGGCGGCAGGCAAGGTCCGTCAGCCTCCACGAGGCCGGCTTTATCCAGTACTTGGACTCTGGAATCTGGCATCTGGCTTTTTATAACGATGGGAAAAATGCAGAGCAGGTGTCCTTCAACACCATTGTGATAGGTAAGGACCATCTTCCAAGTATCACTTCCAGGCGTCCAGCCTCAACGCTGTGTTAAATAGAAACTAAATTACCTTCACCAGTTCTGAGTGAGTCCTAGGATGTTAAGGCCTGAAGTAATTATGAGAAGTATTTTTTTAAATTGTTTGTTTATGAATATATGACAAACCATGAAGCACTGAAAGAGTGTTATTCGGAAGTAGCTTGGAGGGGACAGTGCATCACAAAAACAGTTAAAAACACCTGTGTTTGAAATTAGCAGTGTTTTGCTTTGCTATTCGAATAATCTGGTATTAGGGGCTCCCCAGGTGGCGCTGGTGATAACGTGCCTACCCCTGAAAGAGACAGCAGAGATGCAGGTGGCTCAGTTGTCAAGAACGTGCCTGCCAGTGGAGGAGACTCTGGTTCAATCCCTGGGTCAGGAAGATCCCCTGCAGTAGGAAATGGCAACTGTCTCACTTCCCACACTGTTCGCTGAACCCAGGGTAGGTAAGGCACGAGTGGGGAAGCTGGAAGGAAATTCGAGGCGCCGTAGGAACTGGAGACGTGTTTGTTCTCTCCGGACTGGTGAGGCAGCAAAAGCGGTTTCCCAGGTGGGGCTTGTATGCATTTACAGAACCCACGTGGCCCCTGGCCAGGCGGGCACACTGTGATACGCATGCTCAGTGCTGTAAGTGATCTCAGCTGTTGCCTAGCCATACAAAGTCATCCTTTACAGGATGTGGGGCGAGAGGGCGTGAGAGCCTGACTTTCTCCATCTTGGCTCCGTGCGGTTCCGCACAGCAGCCCGCTCCAGCACTCTTGCCTGGAGAATGCCGTGGACAGAGGAGCCTGGCAGGCTGCGGTCCATGGGGTCGCACAGAGTCCGAAGCCACTTAGCTCGTACACGGCCTGGTATAAATGAATCCTTTCTGGGGTTCCGGAGCCAGCCAGCCACACGCCCTTCAAGAGGTAGCCAAAATGACCAAAGTGACACGGTTTACCTCGCACAGGAGGCAGGGTGCTCAGCGAGGATCGCTTTTTTTTCTCTTCTTCAGAGTCTGTGGTGGAGTGCCCCAGAAATTGCCATGGAAATGGAGAGTGCGTTTCTGGAACCTGCCATTGTTTTCCGGGATTTCTGGGTCCGGATTGTTCAAGAGGTATGCGACTTTAGATTCTTTTCTTCAGCCAAGATAAATAAGCTGTGCAGAAACTCTAGTTATTCAGCAAACTCCCAAGACGGGAAGGGAGGTGGAGGGTTGGCGGGGCAGAAATGGCAGAGCGCTTGTTCTGGCGACCTGCTGCTGCTGGGAGCGAATCTTGGGGGAAGCGTGGCTGGTAATTCCCCTGTCGTGTTTCATTTCACAGCAGCCTGTCCGGTGCTGTGTAGCGGCAACGGCCAGTACTCCAAGGGCCGCTGCCTCTGTTTCAGCGGCTGGAAGGGCACAGAGTGCGATGTACCCACGACGCAGTGTATCGACCCGCAGTGCGGGGGTCGTGGGATTTGTATCATGGGCTCTTGCGCTTGCAACTCCGGATACAAAGGAGAAAACTGCGAAGAAGGTAAGCATGTCCATATCTGCGGAAGTCTATTCTTAGATATTCATAAAGAAAAAAACAGGTGATATGTGTAACCTTTAGTTTGGCAATGAATCTTTATATGCCTCCTTCTGAAGGTAATTTTGATTTCCATATTCATGGAGGTGTTGCTTCATGAACATTTTACCTAATAAAAAGAAAAAAATACCAAGGAGTCCCTTTGCTCTTTCTCAATTGTGTGAATAATTTTTTTTTTCACTCTGAGAAAATAAGCAAAAACTTGTGTCTTGGACCCAACAGTGGACTGTTTATTTATTTTTTGCCATTTTTCACCTTGATGCCAGTCTCTAAATCTGGTAGCATTTGGTATCTCTAGAAAAATGAATATTGAGTATAATAGACTGATGGAAAAAGATACATCATGGGTTTGCTCCATAACTATATATAATGATGATAGTTAAGATACTATACTGTAAAATGCCATTTGAGCTAGTTTTTTCAAAAAGCAGAAAAGCACCCTTTCCATTCTTCAATCAAATTGATTTTATTGATCTGCACACACAAAGTAATGCAATTAAGTCTCTGGAATTAAATTTTCAGGCCATTGACCCTACAAGTGTAAAGTTTTATTGAGTCAAATTGCTAAATTAAATCTTGTCATCTAAAGCACATTAACGTGAATTAAGAAGGATAGAGGGTGTGCAACTCATTTATTTCTCAAACATGTGAGGGTCCCACACAGCTGTCAGTATTCAGTGGTTATGGATAGGCCAGCTGATTCAGATTTTGTTATAGCGAAGCCAATACTTATTATTCTCTGATTGGGCAGAATGGAAAGTGGTCATCTCAAGAGCAGAAGTGAGAATTACGAATCCTTGTAAGAGTCTCCATTACCTAAATGGCATGTCTCTTAATGCTTTACTGCATAAATTCTCTGCATTTTCAGAAACAAGTTCTTGCAAATGGTAGGTAAAAATATCTGAGTTGCCAAAATGTTCAGGTCAATTGGGATTTAATTCTTTGTTCTGTGTGTACTGTGTATATCTTCTAGATTTAATGGTAAGTTGGTTCTCTTTTCTTTCCACTAGCTGACTGTCTAGACCCTGGATGTTCTAATCACGGTGTGTGTATCCATGGGGAATGTCACTGCAATCCTGGATGGGGTGGTAACAACTGTGAAATACTCAAGACCATGTGTCCTGACCAGTGCTCTGGCCATGGGACGTATCTTCAGGAAAGCGGCTCCTGTACCTGTGACCCTAATTGGACTGGCCCAGACTGCTCCAACGGTGAGGATCATACATTTGAGTACTTAGTATTGTTTAGCTAAAGTTTACCATGGGCTTCCCAGGTGACGCAGTGTTAGAGAATCCGCCTGCTGATGAGGGGACCCAAGAGACAAGAGTTCGACCCTTAGTTGGGAAGATCCCCTGGAGGAGGAAATGGCAACCCACTCCAGTATGCTTGCCTGAAAATTCCCAGGAACAGAGGAGCCTGCTGGGCTACAGTCCGTGGAGTTGCAAAGAGACAGACAGGACTGAGCACACATGCACACAAAGGTTACGGTAGTTTATTAAGCTGGCTGAAAAGTTCATTTGGATTTTTCCATAGTGTCTTAACAGAAAAACCCAAAGGAACTTTTTGACCAACCCAATAATTTTTAAAACACTTTTATTACACTTAATATAGATTTTATTAAAGTGACCATTTATAGAAAGAAATGTTAAAAGTAATGAGATTTGTTGTCTTTTAATATGGAAAGAAACAGCCTTCATCATTTGTCATTAAAATTTCTCCTTTAGTATTAAAAATTTTTTTCTCCTTTAGTCTTATTGTAAAGAAAAAATATTTCAGTTCAATAAAGCTCTCTTTCTGCTTAACTCTGAAGGCCTATGTACAACTTGGAGATTAGCGCACATTATCTCATAAACAGAGAAACCGCAATTAAAAAATTATGTGACAACAGAAGAATTTTAATACGATCACAATAAAGAGTATACACATAGATATTATGGTGTATGTAATAGTTCAACACTGAGTTTTTAATTGTCATTGTATGATGATAATAGAAATGGCAAGTAGTAGTTTTATTCAGTCATGTTTTTACGCACCAACTCTTGAGTATGGCTTTATGACAGGCCCCAAAGGGATAAAAGAGGAATCGATCGTTCCTGCCCTCTAGAATAGTGGCTTTCAAGGTTTTGACCATGACCTAAATGACCTGTGGTCTTAAATATATTTTTACATTGTGAGCTCATATTTTGTGTGCATTTACTCATATCACTGAAATGAAAGCTTTACAAAGTGGTGTATAGTGATACTTTCTCTCAAGTCTGTTCTACTTTTTTATTGCTGTTTGCAACCCATGAATGAATTCTGTGACCATTCGCTAGTCACACAGTATGGAAAGATGCTATTCTAATCTGTGTGCTCAATTCGTCAGTCGTGGCTGACTCTGCAACCCCGTGGACCATAGCCCACCAAGCTTCTCTGTCCAGGGAATTTTCCAGGCAAGAATACTGGAATGGAGATTATAGTTTCATTGGGGAGATAAGATAAACACACATGAAATCCTTAGAAACCAATACGCTCCAGTTTAATATTCTATTGAGTGTTTCATGAACTAATGCACTAAATTAAGTCAATATTTAGATCCTGCCTTGATGCATGTTGAAAGTTTACAAGATTTTTAATATTTCTTTCCTTTTTTTCAAGATTGCAGTTAGTATGGAGGGTTAAAGAATATTTTTTGACTAGGGGAATAGTATTAGAAAGTACTTAAGAGCATGAGCTCTGAACTCACCCTTTCCTGGCCTTTTTGAGGAATTTGGGTAATATGTCTGCTACCCTAGGAGTCAATATTGGCATAAAAGATTAACCGACCACTCTTCACCTGTTACGAATTGAATCTCAGAAGCCCAAACTAGAGAAAGTCTTATATAGGTTAACTTGTGGTATTGATGGAAAACTAATGTTGAACCCATAAGTAGATATCCTAGTTAAAGAAGCAACTTAGGAGTTTTCTTTCTTGCTCTTTCTTTCTTTCTCCTTATTTTTCTTCCCCGTCCCTTCTCCTCTCCTTTCCTTCCTTCAATCTTTCTTCCTTCCCTCCTTATCCTCTCCTTCCCTCATCTTGTGGGCCATACAGTGTGAAGGTAGACGGTGTCTATAATATGCCCATCACTGCTTCATAGACACACGAGTTAATTCAGAGAACTTGGTGAACCAGAGACTTTGGTTAGAAGATTCATGACTGTCAGAGCAGGCAAGGTGTATAGGATAAATAAGAGTAAAAAAACCTAAATTGGGGGCTGAATTACAGAGGACCTTGAATGTCTCAATAATGAGTTTTAAAAAATCATCACCAGCCAAGGTTTATCAAGCATGGATGCATGGCATTATTTTCAATAACATGTTAGCTCATTTTGTCCTTTGCTTTAAAAATATATAATTGCAAGAACAATATAGGCATTTAGCTCTTTCTTTGGGGTTTTTATTTACATTTTCAGCTTCTATACTAAAAATGTAAAAATCCAATTAAAGTTTATAGATACAATTGCTTGTACAAAGCTACTTGATTCAGGCCTCTCTGCCTCCATTAGTGAAATAGGCATAATAATAGTAGTTATAAAATAATACTTATTTGAAATATTGTCATTTTAATTTGTTTCCCACAGTTTTCCAAGTCTGAAAGAAACAAAACAATGGCCCCTTTTTTGTTTCATGTAAAGTTATTTAATACATTACCAAGATTATTTTATAAAGGATGGTTTGTAATTGATATTAAATAGCTCAAAAAGTAATTTGATCTTCATAAAATGGTAAAAATGGTATTGTTATGAATAGCCAAAAAAAGGATATCAATGTTAGTTAAAAAATTAAACTGGCTGCCAAAATTACATGTCATTATTTTACATATTTAGACTGATTTTTTTCATACTGCTGTTACTGTTTTGCTAGCTGAAAATCTAATTTTACTTGTATATCTGACTGTTTAGACATAATGAGTGAAGGACTTCATCCTATTCATCTTTAAATCCTTAATGCAAAATGCACACTTATTAAATTCTCAGTATAGAGAGTTGAATAATAAGCACAGTATACTTCTTTGGGAGAAAGTAGTTAAGCACAGAGCAAAACTTTTTATTAAACTTTACTATTAGCTGCCGAAAGACAGAAAACTCACTTAGAATTGTTAGCAAAGATCTCAAGTACACATAGGGCTATCCTGTGGAAACATCTGAATTCATATGCCTCCAATTAGTCTGCATATTGCACAGATCTCATTGAAAGTTTAGGAAGACACCTTTGTTAATCTACATTCCTGACTTAAAAGCCAGTAGCATTTCGAATTTCTAACCTATTGAATTCTAAAGCAGAGCACTACCAGCTGCCTCTATTGTTGTTGTGGAAATGACCTTCAGAGATCTAAATTCAATAAGAGAGTAGGTTTTACACCTGAAGAAACATTTGGTTAAGCTGCTAAAAGAGAAGAAAGGAATTATTTCCATCAGAAAGTTTATAGATTTGAAAGCAACAGAGCTCTCCTCTCTCTTCAGCAGCAGTTTGTCCATTAATTAGCCCTTCAATTCCACTTCAATTAAATTAACTCTAATTAATAAGTTCATTACAAAGATTGACGCACCTTGCTCAAAGCAAGTGTGCTAAATGCTGATAAACACCTTCACCCTAATGAAAAATTGATTAGATTGAATAAAAAAGGGAACCTCAGAAAGAAACTCTTCTGAAGCTCTTCTGAAGCTCAGGTGACGTTCTGTTCCTCTGAAGTTAATCAAAACATCTTGGCTCCTTTAATCAAAAATTTAATTCAAAGGAGTTAGAAAATGTGGCATGAAAAACCACGTACCATTCTCCTCCAGCTCATAGCCCTGACTGTTGTTTATAAGAAATGCTCACCACTGTCACAGAGCCTGGATCAAGTTTTTAAAAATTCTGCAGCCCTGTGAAGTCCACTGTCTGAGAAATATTATTTGGCCAATGGCTGGGGAACTGTGGGATCATGCAGGTGACTACCTAAACAGGGACTGGCTATTTTTTATTTTAAAATTCAGCTAGTCCATTTCCTGTTTGTTAGAAATGATCTCAAGTTTTTATTGTTCATTATGTTTATTGTTGAAAGAAAACCGAAACTAAACAATAGTCTTCCAATCTTAAGAAAAAAAATAGTTCATTTTATTTAACTTTATATGTAAAAAGCAAAAAATAAAATACCCTCAGAGTTCTGTCTGTCTCTCTCTCTCTCTTAACTGGATCTCATAAAAAAAAAAAAAAAAAACTTTTAAGAAAAACTTTTTTAAGAAAAAACATGTCAGATGCCTGAATTCTGTTCTAATGACCTAACTTCTTGTTACCATTTTTAAAGTCCTTTGGTGACTCCTGCTCTTTTCAGTAATTCTAGTAATTGGAAAACCTTACTTTTCAAATGTTAGAGTTCATGGTTATATATATTGTTAAACTGGTTTTCTGTTATTGTTTTGCTCAGCAGCTTCTGTCAGCAGTACAAATATACTGTCTAGGAAAAAAACAACAATTTGTTTTATTTAACCAGTGTGTTTGTGTGTCAGACCCAAGTTAATATGCATACTATAATAGATTCTTTTTTTTTAACTTTTTTAAATAACATTCTTTCTAATGAAAGTTTTTGAATATTTTGAAAATATAAACCATAAGATTAAAAATAACTCCTTTTCAGTTTTTGCCACCCAGGTGAAACCCAGCTCCTGTTAAATACCTGACATACATAGACACAAAAATATTTCATAAATTTTATATCAATTTAATGTATATGTTCATGTGTTCCTGGCTGTCAAAAGCATACTCTGAGAAACATATAAGTGTGTGTGCACATATTTTCTTCTTTATGAATCATATGTTCTGTTTTGTTAGTAGTGTGTGTGTACACGCATATATAAATATAGGAAATTGTTTATAGCATAATTATCATGTGCATTTTATGCCCGATACGGCAGCATGTAAAACTAAAAAAAGTAAAACTACATTTATCGTTCTTAGCCGCCGATACTGAAATTTACTTAGTAGGTAAATACTTTTGTGCTTATGTTCAAGGATTTTGCTCTTCACTGTCACAGGTTAGCGCTGAAGACGAAGCACTGCTTATTAACTCCTCTTCTCACTCCCGTCTGTCTACTTTCCTCTCTTGACCTGCTTCCTCTGTTTTACATCTAGAAATCTGCTCCGTGGACTGTGGCTCACACGGTGTTTGCATGGGGGGGTCCTGTCGCTGTGAAGAAGGCTGGACGGGCCCAGCGTGCAATCAGAGAGCCTGCCACCCGCGCTGTGCCGAGCACGGGACCTGCAAGGATGGCAAGTGTGAATGCAGCCAGGGCTGGAACGGAGAACACTGCACCATCGGTAGGCCCGATGCAATCCAGTTCTTTTTATTTTTCTAAATTTTTAAAATTCTTATCGGAATATAATTGCATTACAGTGTTGTGTGTTTCTGCTATACAGAGACGAGAATTTGTTAAAATCCAGTTCTTGTTAAAACCGCTGTATCAAGTATGAAGTATAAGGATATTTTTATTCATTGTTTTGGGGGATGGCCACCAAAATTGACTCATATAAGGAGGACTTCATTTCTTATAAACCAACTCTCATTGAATATTCCTTTTGTGTGTTACATATTGCCACCATGGGACAGCAGTATTTTTTACTTGAAAAAAAGATTCCCAGTATATAGCCTTTTCAACTCCTATAGATTCCAGAATCACACATCTTAGCACTTGTCCATCTATTTGAGTCTCGAAAAAAGAAGTTTGAGTTCTTACGATTTTATTTTGTAGTACTGTGAGAAGGAAGAGTAAAATGCACAATTCTAGCTTTTCTTAGATTTATATGCTTAACACTTCTTAAAATATGATGAGATTCTGGCACATGTGTTGGTTAAATAAGACAATCAAATAGGTGTTTAAGATAAAAATGTTACTATGTAAGTGCTATTTAGCCTGGATACAAAAGTATCCAGAATACATACACTGGTGCTATATTTTCAGGGTGTTCAGTGCCTTTGCCTTTACTGTTTTAGTCACTGAAAGTAAAACATTTATTTAAAGAAAATGCAACAGAAGTTAAGTAATACATTTCTACCTCACTTCAGTGAAAGTGTACAATATTAATTATAAATGGCATGATCCTACAAAAAATTTGTAATTTGAGAAATGGTGTTTCTCTGAAGATCAGACCTTTATGGTAACTCTTATCTATGAACATGCTTACAGGGTCACCTGTTAAAGGTGAGCTACTGCCAACAACTGGGGAGCCCATAGTCTTCCTGGCTACAACATGCACGTACAGGCCACTTGCAGAGAGCTCACCCCTAACATCCTTCCCACATGAGGCTCTGCCTTCCTCTACTCTTTAAGGGAGGCTCCACAGGGAAGGGGCCGCCTGTTCTTTCATGTGAGCCCCACTTATGAGCTACAGCAAGGCAGAAAACAGTTGACAACCATGATCTGCATCTTTTCTGAGAGTGTTCAAGGGACAACGTAGTATCTCTGTGATCAGGCAGCTCCATGCCCCAGTTCTAGAATGGGTGCACGCTAGAAGCAGGGCAGGAAGAGTGTGCTTCTGATCATTGTAATTTTTGACCCTACCACCCCCATCATAAGTGAATTGAATCTAGCTAGAAGGAAAATGTTATATACTGGACTATTTGTATCCTGGGAGGTACAACCAACACATGTATATATAGCTTGAACTATGAGGAAGTGTACTGTAAAGTTATCCATGGGCAGTTTTAACTTGTCAACCAACAGCCGCCAAACAAATCATTCTCTGGGTATCCTTACTGACCTTGGTAATGTTACATGGTTAGTTTCCCACAGAGGACCTGTTCTTGAACAACTTTCCCGGTGTCTGGGAAGAAAGGGGATTTTTGTTAGTAGCAGGTCTTTTTATTATAATTTAACATGTCTTGCAGTGGTTAACAATTCCACTTTCTATTGTTTCATTTTATTTTGTTGCTTTTAAACTCCATATGAGTGACAGTGTAGAAGGAAAGGACCTGCTCCATTTAAAAATAAATCTTCGAAATGAACCTTTTAAAAGATGTAGAGAACCTTTAAATCATTGTTTTACTCTTTTATACTCTCAGAAGTAGTTATTCCAAATTTTTGCATACAAAGATCCAATTGCTTTTCCCTGTCTACTTCCTACCTTGTATATATGTCCAAAGTGAAGTCTCAGGGGTCCTTTAAAAGGAGGCCTTTGTGAGCCACTGATTAAACAGCCCAGGAAACTACAGTATGTTTTCTCATTCAGAAGAGTTACTGTTCTGTTCATTTCCTCTTGATTTCAACACTTAGGTGTCTGGCTGAAAAGAGCTTTCACTTTATGAAAGAAGACTCATAAATCAGCGAGATTTTTTTTCCTTTCTCCATATTATGCGCCATCTCATTGAATACAAACAGGGAGGTTAATTGAAAGAGAGATGGAGGAGAAATTAAACAGTTAGAAGCAAACAAAAGTTCCCGATAGAAAGCAAAGAATATTCTTCATTAGTCATCTTACTGTCTTCATAAACTCTTCATGCTTCCATAAAACCATAGGCATTTTGACAGTAAAATAGGTTCTGAATTTAGAGTATTCACAGAACACCCAACTACCTGAAGGGATTGATTGCATTCTGATATTTTTATTAGTGTGTTCACACTTTGCTGTCATTATGAATCATGTATTCAGCAAATTCATCCTCAGGTCTGTTGTCACAAGTCCTTCCCCTTTCTTGGGTTAGACTTTGAGTAGTGATGTATCCAGATTAAAAAAAAAATGAAACAAAGGGAAATCTACTTTTAGAAACACTATCATTAGAATGAATATATCTCCCTTGCTCCCCTCAAAACCATTTAAGATCATTGGACCCTTTCATAAATAAAGAATTATATGACTGAATCACATCAAAGAAGCACCAGCAATGATTACTGGCACAGTTTACTACTAATAGCGCTGGTAGAGATGCTCAGCTAGCATAATGTCTTCCTTTGTAAGCAAACATTCCATAATTGGTCAAAAGATTATCATACTCATGTTTCTGCCTTTGTTTTTCATAAGATTGGAAAGATAACAATTTAGAGGATACAGAAATTAATTTTAAAATATTAAATATAACTACATGGTTTGTAAGTAATAGTTGACAGAATTAGAATATTATTATAACTATATGACAAAACTTAAACAGTTCTGTAGTGTGAGAATTGAGATGTATCAAAGTCAGATCTGTGAACCAGAAGATACTTGGCCTAACTCAGAAGGTTCACTATCTGTAATGTATCTAATTGGAACCAGAATCTGTAACCATGCAGAGGCAACTAGGTTTGGTTCTGTCTTTTCTTCTTGCTTAGGAAAGAGAGGCTAGTTACCCGATTGGCCTATGGCTGGAGTGAATGGGATGGAGACACGCACAAATACCTCGACAGCCTCTACTTGAATAGATGTTTGGAGACAGAATCCATACAAGTGTCACACTAGCTAACTATCTTGGCCAATGATACATCCTAAGTACCAAATTTTAAGTATTATTAACCTGTACTTTCCCCCAAGAAATATTCTTTTCAGCAATGGCTGGAAGAAATTTGCTCCTAGAGCCATCCATTTATATCTGAGAGCACTGGAGGCTGTAGATGAGGCTGTGACCTGAAGGGTGGGGAGGAGGAGATTGAATGATGCAACTGATAGTTATCAGAGGGTTGTTACGAAGGTGAAGAAGGCTCAGATCTCTGTCTGTTCATGGCAAATCCCCTACTGGACGCTGATTTCCCCACAGACACAAATGGAGCAAATGGGCTTAAATTGCTTAAAAAGTGATTAGACTTAATGAAGGTTGGAAACTTATTTAAATCCTGGAACAAGATTCTAAGCAAATTTCTGAATCTCCACTCCAATAAGCATTAACAGTATCGTAATTATTTAGGTGTGAAACTTTGGACATTTTGGTTTTCATCTTTGTTAGATAGAGGAGTGTTTTTAGGAGAGAAGAGTTTTTTAATTTCTTTGTAGTCTATTGAACAGTATCCCATTCTGATGGACCCCTTGGGGGCTCTTGATATTCAAAAATGTATTGATAATTTCTGCTTAATTTAAAAAATTGCTAGTTTTAAGCACAGAGTTCCCTTTTTATTCTCAATTTCATTTAACTTCCATTTTCATTTTTCTTGTGGCATTTGTGTGCCTCAGTTACATTTCATTTGTTAATTTATGCATTTTTGTCCATTAAGCAATTATTGATCAACCCATCTGTGATAATTGAATACTATTTCTTAATGAAAGTCAGTGCAACATAATAAGAAAAGGCAAGGGCTTTGAAATTTTAAAAAAGATGTTTCCCAACCAATCCTGTGATTTATTCACTGACTTAACTGTTCTTAGCGTCCATTGGTTTTTTTGTTTTTTTTTTTTTGCAAATGTGAAGTGGCTCTAATGGTCCTATTATATGAGATTTTGAAGCAGAGTGTCTGATGTTTTAGAGCTTTTGGAATTTGAATCTTTGCTACGTCGTTTGCTTGCTCTGTTGACTTTGGGCAACTCATTTAACTTCTCTGCGTATGTTTTCACCATAAATTTTATTTATCTCATAGGGTCGTTGGATCATATGAAATACCAGAATGTAAATCACTTATTAAAGTGCCTAGCAATGTTTACCAAATTAGAGTTTTTTATTTCATTGTTCAGTATAAATGAGTCAAAGTATAACACAGACAACATTTTGAGTGCTAAAATTGTTTTAAAAAGATAAAACAAATGGCTGTCCAGCAAATTTGCTCTAACGAGTTAATATAATTTCCAGTTCATTGTTGTGTGACCTAGTCTCAAACTGGATATGGCTTAAGAAGAAGTTAATATGTTTGGGATGGGAGTTAGGGAGGTGTCGCTTTTTAAAATCACAGTGATGAAAGACAGGTAGAGTCTGATGTGATATTTTTCTTCTAGTTATGTCTCAAACACGGAGCTGTTTATTGAGCTGCATTGATTTTCATGTACTTTCAGGCAATTCAAATGGAAATTTGGCCTAGGGGAAATCCTAATTCCTATAAACTACAAAAGCCTGGCTATTCATTTTTATTCTAATTCTTTAGCACTTTGGGAAACAAGATCTTTAATGATCACAAAGACATGCTTCATTTGTTCAGACAAAACTTAGTTGCAGAGTACTCAGCACACCTCTCATAAATACCACAGTGCTCTGGGCTTAGGGGTGCTGGAGATTAGAAATTGAAAATGAAATACACACAGCTGGGGACTTATCTATTAAACAGTCTGGGGGTAAAAGAAAGAGTGGAACTGTACCATGTATGGGCATGGCTTAGGCTTGTTATTCTAATTCTCATCTCAGGATAACGGTGAAAGAATAGTGTTTT